CTCAGCCATAGAGTGTGATGCCATAGAGCAGTGGTGTCAAACTCATTTGTTATGAGAGCCGAATCTGACATAAATGTAACTTTGTTGGGCCGGGCCATATATGCCATAAAATGTAATGCTGGGTACTGGAGATATAAGCTGTATAAAGGACAGCAGCTGGTAAGCTCTGAGTTGGTGTAGCCTCACTGTAAGGCCCCATGGACTGGAAAGGGGGGGGGTCCAAAGGAAAGCCAGTATGGGTGGACTGGAGAGCCAGCAGTGCAGCATTGGGCAGACGCTCCCATGGTACTTGACTGCTGCAGATGAGGTTGTTCTGCCATGCTGAAGCCACAATTGGAGTGGCTCGGCCCACTCCCCCTTCCAAACAGTCTCCTGTTCCCTCCCTTGCACTAGTTGCTTGCGGGCTGCATAAGAGCCCTGGACAGGTCAGTTCCGGGCCCTGGGCCTTGTGTTTGACACCCCTGCCATAGAGTCTGCTCTCTAAAGGTGCCATTTCCTTCAGGGGAACTAATGTCTATAGCCTAGAGATCAAGCATAACTCCTGGAGAAAACCAGGCCCCATCTGGAGGCTGGCAACCTTGGTTTATATGTGGCTTCCAGTTTCCACAGTAAATTTGCCAGGGATGCCTTCCACACAGGGATGGGTTTTTGTGATTTCTCCATTGCTGGGGCAGCTGCGGGTAGAGTTCAGCAGCAACAGGCCTTTCACATGACTGGTTTCCTCACAGTTTCCCTGCCCCAATCACCCAAAAGTGCCCCCTCCCCTGGGCCACCAGGGCTTTTGCAGTTATTAAAAATTGGCATAAAATATTGTATCAGTATCCCGTTGTAAAATAGCTGTAGCAGATTGTCTAAATTTCCAGCTTTCTTTTTCTTTTTTTTAAAAAAGCAAGTCCCTAACACCTTAACTTTTGAAGGTATGTCTTTTTCCTTATATCTCTGCAAGGGAAGTTGCTAGAGGCTTCTTTTAAAAAATGAAAGCTAAGAAAGTTGGCACAGGCCTCTGTGCCAGCTCTATACTTGGTCTAGGATTGCCAGTTCCTCACCCCCAGTTCTTGTTTCCCACCACCATTCTAAACAGTGGCAGGAGAAACAAATGATCCTTGGGTCTGTGGTATAAGGTCACTTCTGGGAAAGTCCTGAAGTGACATTACATCTCTCAATGGAAACTCGAAACTCTATGGTAACCATGTGGGCTCACCCAACACCTCTACTTTCCAGAATACTTTCGAAGAGGAGTTACAAAGCAGAATACTTTAGAAGAGGAGTGGAAAGCAGATGCCAGTGCTACTGACTGCAGTAGACAAAGGATAGTGTTTCTGTGAAAAGAACTCACTAATATTTTTAAATTGGCCAGTGGTAGTTATATTCCTAAAGCCATTATTTATATGCAGCTGCCCATGTTTAGCGACGGCTGCGGGATGTTAATGTTTCATTAATTAATATATTGAGTATAGGAAGAGAATCTCCTAATGTTCCAAATACTGTGTCTATAATGTAGTATTCTAGCATTCATATAGGACATTGGTCTATTGTAGTAGTCTTGCTATTGTAGTAGTCTTGCTAAAGTATTACTGTAAGGGTATTCTTATCTGGATCTCATGTAACTTTAACAAAAAATTAAAAACAAGCAGAACAGACTTTATGCAGACTTTATACTAGTCTAGTACAGTCTAGTCTAGAACAGTCTAGTCTAGAACAGAATTTATACTAGTCTAGTTAGAAGGGCAGCATTTGCAGTTTTAGGCATTAAACATACACATACAACTTTTTTGAAAATGTTGCTATGGAAATGAACTCTCGACTGCTCTTACAATAGTGGTAAAAGACTGTTCTTTGCTAAGTATTCAGAAACACCATACCCTCATTTCCAGTGCATTGCTATTCATTGCCAAGGGAACAGGATTGGCAGAGAATTCTCAGACTTCTTTTCGAAACTGTGTTGGTATTATCTTTGCCTTTGTCAGCTCATAAGAGCAATTTAAAAATTCTTACGTTGTAACTGTCCCCTTTCCCCCCTTTTGGAGAAAGGGAATACTTGTAAGTCTTTTAAAGCTTATTTATTTTGCTACCCTAGGGCCCTAATTCTGAGGTTCATTAATGCTGCTGTGCATGTGGATCTCTGCAAGGCTGACAATGCAAATGGCCTTTTTGGGTGGTTGGATCCAGCAAAAACACAGCCTGTGCACAGGGACTCCAGGGAATGGGTGTGTATGCCAGAGAGGATTATTTTGTGGAATATTGTTTTGTGTATTAATATGTTTCACCCAGGGAAGATGATCCATGAACAGAAGTCTATTTTTGTTTATAGTTTGCCCTTGCTGGGCTGAGGCCCATCTTACAAAAATATCTTTTGACCCCCCCCCCCTCCAAGTTTCATTCAGAGTTTTGAGTGTTCTCTTTTCTTATTTCAACTTTGGCAAAGGTTGTAAAATCTTTCTATTTTTTTAAAATAGCTCTGTTCAGAATTCTAGAATATATCCAGAGTTAAAGATGTTTCCAAAGTAACTGAAGACAAAAGTGAAGGAGCGTGCCTAAATCTTTGTTTTTCCTTCTCCTGAGTATGTGAAACAGGAAAGTCATTTGGGGTAAAAACATTATTTTTGCAATTAGGGTTTACTGTGATATTAGTCACAGTGGTAGAAATATACTGAGGCTATAAAAATATTCAGGACGATAAAAGTACCCCCTCCCCCATGTTGCCTAATGTTCCTCAGCATTAGAAAAGACAAAAGAAGAGATCAGGTGAATAAAGTCCTGGGAATCTTCCAGTTCCAACAGATATTTTTCCATTGTGTATCCAAGAGAGCATGCTTTCTAATTCCACAACTTGGCTATGTACTTGACTCATTGACGAGCTATATACCGGGGGGGGGGGACGGGGGACGGTGACACTAGGAACACTCCTCAGAGTTCTTGATCACAAAGTAAGAGCCTGTCCTGGCAGTCAGTACCAATATTATGACAAATGTCCATAGACATTTTGAACTGGCAGAAACTGACAGAGACTAAGAGAGAGATCTTGGAGTCGTCGTAGATAACTCACTGAAAATGTTGAGACGGTGTGTGACTGCAATAAAAAAGGCCAACACTATGCTGGGGATTATTAGGAAGGGTATTGAAAACAGATCAGCCAATATCATAATGCCCCTATATAAATCAATGGTGTGACCTCATTTGGAATACTGTGTACAGTTCTGGTCACCACACCTCAAAAAGGATATTATAGCTTTGGAAAAAGTGCAGAAAAGGGCAACTAGAATGATAAAAGGGTTGGAACACTTTCCCTATGAAGAAAGGTTAAAGCGCTTGGGTCTCTTTAGCTTGGAGAAACGACGGCTGAGGGGTGACATGATTGAGGTTTATAAGATTATGCATGGAACAGAGCAGGTAGAGACCCAGTACTTTACAACAACCCTACCCTCCTGTTCCCTGCTGGTGTCCAAGGAGAAGCTGTAAACCCTTGGTGGAGGTGTGGCAGCCTGGAAGCCACACTGGGCCCAGCAGCAGAGTAGGAGGCTGCTGGGATCAGGAGCTGCATCAGACTTGGCACTGGGGGGGGGGTG